TTTTCGTCCCGATTCCATCTTTAACGCTTTTTCGGGCATATTTTCTGCAAAACCAACAACAACTATACCTCTATCATAGATTAATAAATCAAACGAAATGGTGCGCAATCCCACAATAAACACGGTCAAACATCACACTATATCACTCATAATGCATGAAAATATGATGAACATCATAAATGTGTTGTAATTTTTATCTTTAAGGTTGTCATTTACTTTCAGCAATTTTGTATTAAAACCCTAGGGTCATCACTCATCTTTGTATTCACTTTTCACTTTATCAAATACAACGCAGCTTTCTTCTTTCTCTCTCTGTGTTTCCCTTTCATTCTTGTGTTCATCAGATTCAATATGGTATCATTCGCCGGCTAAACCTCGCCGATCCTGTGTTTTCTGTTTGATTTCCGCTGCTTCTCATATGATATTTCCTTTTTTTCTTTTGGTTTTTCTATTTTTTGCTGATTTTTTCGCTGATTCCTCGCGAAACCCTAGATCTGTGACTCTAGATCTTCGATTCACTACTGTTTCTTTTGATTCTGTGATGGTAATGACAATCAATCCCTCCGATGATCCTGCATCTGCTTTTTATCTGCACGCGAGCGACAATCCGGGCGCTCTGATTGTTGCTAAATCGTTCAACGGGTAGAACTACGTCTCGTGGTCTCGCGTCGTGCTTATGGCGCTTAGTGTCAAGAACAAGATCGGGTTCGTCGATGGCTCTATCACTGCTCCGTCGACGTCTGGTAATTCGATTCTCTACATGTCTTGGTTACGCGCTAACAATCTAGTTCTATTATCATGTCCCGATGGAATAATTCCGTCGGGGTACTGTAGCATTTCCCAATAATATAATGTCAAATGTAACAAACTTTTAATTACGAGGCTATATAAGAGCATCAACAATGCTTTGAGTTCAAATAGAAAAATTGTATGCCACCTAAGAAATAGACTAGTATAAAAAAATGTATTCTCCAATGCAAACAAAAGTAGACTGTGTCCTGCTGATGTGGCAGTCCAAAAAAGAGACCTGGTCTACCCTTAAGTCTATTTTAGACCAAGTAGAGACCTAGTCTCTTTGAATTGGAGTGGATTTTAGCAATTTTACATAATTTTATCCATGTCATAAAAAACTTGGGTTTATTTACATGTCACATAGACAAGACTAGACTCAATGCATTGTACATGCTCTAATGTAATATTTGTGCACGTAGACTAAATTAGAGCACCAATCATGGGCATATCGAAAAATAGAGATAAAGAAAAAAAAAAAAGAAAAAAAAAATGAAATTCACATAGGTTATTATTATTTATTCCCGTGAGCGTGGTGGCCCCTTACAGTGAAGGAAATGTTAGGTTGCACCACTCATAAATAACAGGACCTACCCCCCAATGACTCGTTGTACTTCTCTGATTGGTCCGTTACGAAGCATTTCATATTTCCTTTCTTGAGTTCTGATGGGCCAGCCAATCAGAGAGCGAAACGTGGTAAGGTGAAAACCGTATGTTTGTGTCCTTGTTGAAGCAAAAGTAAGGTACCACTCTTAATGCGTGGTGAGGATGGGAACAGATCAACTGACCAAGTGACCATACAGATACTTTCAAGGTGGTTTTCAGTTGTACCTTTGTGATGGTGGTGCTATAATTATATTTGAGTCTTCACAAAATGCATGGGTCCAGTGAGTTTGTGTGTAGTACCGCTCGACAGAGCAAATTATAAGCATGGTCCAAAAGGGTCTTGCCAAATACTGGTTCTGGTGACTCGGATTAGTCGGGTACGGCCGGTTGTTAAGAGCTTTAGATCGAATTTTATTTACATGGCATATAAATGGACTCAATTAATCATGATCACGGGCCGAACTGCCCGTCGAATTGGCCAGGAACCGGCATGTGGTCAACGGGCCTTGAACCGAGCTCGTCATTTAACTGGGCTGATTTCGGGCCACATTTTGAACCGTTTGGTAGGTTCGGAACCGGCGGTTTTGACCTTTTTTTTAGTTATTTTTATTTTTTTTAATGAATGGGGCTGGCCCTAAACCGGTGGTTCACCTGAAGAAACCAAGTTCGGTGAAAATATCATTCGTATTATTGCAATGGCCATAAATGAAATATACAATTGGTTCGAGTATTTATATTGTACAACTTGAAAGGAAAAGAAGATAAGAAGAAACATTTTTCACTAACACGTCGCAACTAACTGATGGCTACACTATAAAGACTACAATTAACTTAGTCTATTCAACTATTCAACACCCCCTGTCAAGTGGGCTTAAGTGGAAATATGTCATGCCCAACTTGAAAAACATATTTACAAAAGCTTGTCCTCCAAGTGATTTGGTGAAGACATATGCTAGTTGTGGTGTAGAAGGGACATAGCTTGGGAAAACCAACCCGTCCTTAAACTTGTTGCACACTATCTAGGTAACAATCGATTTTCAAGTGCTTCGTGTGGAAAATTGAGTTTTCAACATTGTGAAGAGCTGATTGATTGTCTTAAAGCAAATGAACAGAAAGCCTAATAGGAATCCGCAAGTCTTGGCAGACGTAAACCAACAATTGAAGCTCAAAAGTAGCAGTACTAAGCTGATGCTTGGATATAAAACATCTACAAAAATCTAAACATTTTTAACTCTATCACTTTTTTAAACTCGACTTTAACTCAATATTTTTAACTCATACCACTTTTTTCTCCTTTGTGGTTCTCCTAGGAGTAAAACCTCTCCCTTTCTTAGTTTCCAGCTAACTCCTTTTCCTTTATCTATTTTCTCTTCCTTTGTTACCATAGTCATTTGTCTGTCTCACTACCATAACCACTGTATCACTAGTATCTACGTATATGACATATACACTTCTCTTTCTCTGCTCTTGTAAAATAAGGGAATAAACTTTGTTCACTCCATGTAAAGGATCCATAAGCATAATTTGACTAGTAATTGGACCATAAGTTTCATTAAGTCCCATAAGAAATTACATTAACTTATTCATAGTGTCCATTTCCGACAGATCCTTTGATTTCTCACCGCTACACAAAGGCAAAGGTGCCAAAGATGCACATTCATCCCATAACCTGTTCAACTTAGTAGAGTATAACACTACATATGATGTTTCTTGCTTAATGTTTGCAATATCTTTTTGCAAACTGAATAGTAAAGGTGCATTTAACTCTCCGAACCTCTAATTTATATTTTCCATGATTGAAAAGTTGAATTAGCATAAATGAAACCTTCAACTATTTCAGATTCTATGAGGTTACTATATAGTCAACCTTCTTCCAGCTCTTGAAATCATCATCATCCTCAATCGGAGCTAAAATCTTTCCATTGACAAAGTCGAGATTGTTTTCGCTCGAGTGTATAGAGAAGACAAACATATTAAAAAAGTTATGGATTGATTACCAATTCAACCGCAAAAAAAAAAAAAATAAATAAATAAATAAATAAAAAAAACTAATCAAAACTCAAATTAACTCAAATTTAAACAAACTCTACTATCCTCAATATTATCAATATAATTAAATAATATCAACTAATCATTCTTACACATCACATCAACTTTAGTTCACTATTCATTCACTCACATAATTTTAACTAACCATCATTTTTGGACGAAGAGGGGTTACCGCAGTGGCGCATACCTTCGCTCGGCGTGTACCATGTCCCGAGTTCGAGTCACCCGGGGGAATTGGGGAACCAGTATTGATCCCCCTTATTTGGGAAAAAAAAATAAAAAAAAACTAACCATCATTTTTCTCATACCAACTAATCATTCTTACACATCACATCAACTTTAGTTCACTATTTATACACTCACATAATTTTAACTAATCATAATTTTCTCATACTTTTACATCAAATTAACTTTAATTATTTTTATTTAAATGTTACTTTAATATATTCACTAACAATTAACCATACTATTTTTTTTTTTTTTCAAAATTATCTATAGTTTAAAAAAAAACCCCAATTATAATTAGTTGAATTCATATTCAATCACCCCAAGAGTTAGATGTGAAATTTTTAATTGATTTCGTATTTCTTTATTGTTAGGGAGTTGGGCGATGACTGAGAAATTGAAAAGAAATTTTAGAATTTATTGGTAAAAAACTTATATGTATACATAAATACATATATGTGAGCTATTATTACATAATAATTTGCAAAATTAAAAAATTGGCAAGTATAGTAAACTCCCGCCTGCCTTCAGATTTCAAAAAACAAATCAACCCACTGTTTTGCGCTTCGTCCTTCCACGAACAACGATGGCCGTCGTCTCCAGAAATTCCGATGAAATCTTCAGTCTCTCCTCCGCCGTCAACGACGATCCTCTCTTACCTTGGCTCGGGTATCTTTCCCACTCATTTAATTTTTCATACCTGCTTATTTTCCGACAAATTTGTTCGGCTCAAGTTTCTCACTCTTCCTCAACCATTTCGAATTCTTACAAATTCAAGGTCCATCCACAAAGCTTTGCAGAATCAGAAATCAACCCAGCTCAGCAATTTTGTAGATTTCGACGTGCTGGTAGCGAATTGTATCCACACCTTCAAGTCCGATCCGCAGTATCGAAATGACGTCAGATTTCTCAAGATTTGGTTCCTCTATGTAATCTCCTCTCCTGTACCTTCTAGAATATGTTGAAATCCATCATATGAACTTTGTTATAATATGTTTTGATTCAGGGTGGGCTGAGTACGTGTTTATCGATATCATGTTCATAGTCTTTGTTTTCTTATTATGTTCTGGCTATGACTGGATGAAGTTACTGTTTTACCTTGTAACTTAATCAATGATGTTTTTGAAGTTCTGTAATTATGCAATGCAGTTAATTAGCACTTCACACTTTGATGTTTTGACTAAATATGTAGTTTTCTCAGAATATTTATGCCTTTCTGTGTAATTGATAGATGGATGGTAGTTCAGATTATGAAAGGGTGTTTAAAGAAATGGAGGAGCACAGGATCTGTACAAACAAAGCTCTGCTTTACGAATCGTTTGCTTTGTTTCTGGAAGCAAAAGGCAGGTTCATTGATGCCTGTATGATGTATCAACTTGGGATCTCAAGGTTCTGAGCCCATGTCCTAATATTGATATTTCTGCATATATTAGTTGAACAAATTCTCCATTCTTCTCACGGAAAAAGAGTTTTCTTGCTTCCAGAAATGCCGAGCCTCTGGGGAGGCTGAAAAAAGCCCAGGTGCTGTTTCTTGAGAGAATGTCTGAGAGAGTAAGCAATGGTTCATTTCAAAAGGTAATGCTGAAATTTATATATGTAACTTCCTTAAGATACGGTGAAAGTAGGAAAAAGTGGAACATCATTTCTTGTCCATAATCTTTCATTATTTCCTTTGTAAGTTTCTTTCATATTTCTTTTGCAGATAAAAAATGGCGTCTCTGGAGAGGGTGGTGAAAATTTTGCTAATCCATGGTCTGTTGCAACTCTAAAAAATCTATTGCAGAGGATGAATTCTCAAGTTGTACAGTATGAGGTGTGTAATCTTGATGGTTTGGTGTTAGATAGATTAAAATCAATGCATAATTTTTTGCTTGATTACTAACATATGAAAGTTATGCATATATTTGCAGGGATACTATTCAAGTAACAGATCATATCCAGGAAAAGTGTCATTATCCACTTTGCTGAAATCAGCTAGAAATAAAACCGTTGATATAGGTAACTTAACTGCATGATCTTTCACACTTACAGTTGCATCTATTGCAGTCCTCGTTTGATGTCTACTCTACCAGTCATCAATTGATCCGTCATATTGGGAAAATTTGGTGCAGTATTTAGGGAAGATAAATTTTAGTTGATGTTTAAAAAATTTGGAAGGGGCAAAAGCTACAGGATTAAAAAGTTAAAAGGTGTACTCTCTTAATTAGAAGTGAAAAGGCGAAGAGTGTACCATTCTCTTTTTGGTCTGACTGTTCATATCCATTATGAGGTAGCATTACAGCAATTTGATAATATTGATAACATGTAAACAGGTCCTTGTAAAAAAACAGACACAAATGAGGTTCTTATGTCACTTTCAGGGAAGCTACTGTAGAAAAACATTTATTCTTTCTTTCATTGTATTAGCTAAAGAGCATAAAAGTTGTAAAAGAATATAAAAGAGAAATATTCATAGTTGATGTTCAAAAATTCATCTGGTCATAAGAAATGTTCATCATTGTTATGGTGCTATATTTAAATGCAAGTTATATAAAATTGATCATTACTACTACTACTACTACTGTGCTACTTTGAAGAACTACCATGCATATTCACTTGAATAGTTTAATCAACAAAGAAGGTTCCCTCTCGACATAATCATTCAATTGTTTACTTGAGTCTGTTTTTTATTTTTCAAGGTGGAGAGAAGTACCAGATCAAAGGGTGTGCAGGTCAGGGTGGATTTGCTCAGGTGTTCAAAGCGTATCTGAACAGCAATCCTGATGAAATTGTTGCCCTTAAGGTAATTATTTTTTGTCCTACTAACCTTCTTGGTTGGACTTCTGTATTAAAGACACATTGTGAATTGATTCTTGAGCCTTTCAATCTCGGACAGATTCAAAAGCCACCCTTTCCTTGGGAATTTTACATGTATCGTCAGCTTGACTTGAGGATTCCAGAAAAAGAAGTATGTTGATGTTTCAACAATAGTACTGATGTATTTTAGGTCATAAAGCTCCAGCTCATTTATAGTTGCATTTTTCAGAGGAAGAGTTTTGGGTTTGCCCACAGATTACACCTCTATTCTGACTACAGTGTGCTCGTGTCTGATTATATAGCTAATGGGACACTTCAGGTTGGCATATAATTATTTCATTTGTTATTAAATTAAAAAATTCATCCTCTGCAATAACTTGATGTTAACTTGTGTAGGATGCCATTAACTCGAATGTGGTTACCGGTGGGTCAATGGAAGAGGTGCTATGTATTTATTATACCATTGAGTTGCTTCAAATTCTTGAAACTCTGCATGATGTTGGAATCGTCCATGGTGATTTTAAGCCTGACAATTTGCTCATCCGGTATTCCAGGTATATAATGTTCTCGACTAGACTAGAACCTCTATTAGGTTGACAAGAAAGCTAATTTCTAAACCTGGGGAGGGTGTTTGTTCGAATTATGTTCTTTGCTTAATCAGTTGGAACATTATTGTTTCAGGATTTCTGACCATTTTCTTCTCTGCTCCAGACCTCTACCAATTATCTAATCCTTATTAACGTCTAAGAATAAATCTAAGAAACGATTGGACAGTTTTTCTGATTGTCTTCGGGATTTAATCTTTTCTCAGGATACTAGTTGTTCACAAGGTTTTACCTGTAGTTATTTATGAACATTAGTATCCTCTTGATTTAAGAAGAATTCATGCTGTCCTCCCAAATGCCTCTTTTTGTGCGTAAACAACGTGTATACTTATAAAATCCACCCCCCCTCCCCACACCTCCCCCATCCGTATGTCAAGTCATGGATAAAGACATATTTTATAAAGAGCAGCAAGACTCTTTTTATTGTCCATTGCAGACAAGTTGCATGGCTTTCACAATGCTACTTCAACAAAAACATTAGTGATCTCATTGCCAAAATCATTTCTTGAAAAACTTTAAACCAGTATCAAATTTTCATTACTTGCATCTCTCAAGGTTCATTTCTGAGGGTTGATTCCATGTCTGTACCAGAAGTCTTGTTGTTTCAGTATTTAACAGGCCTCAGTCTTCCTGTTCTTTAGTGTTCAACCTAGCTGGATTGACTATCATCATATACATTTACAGGAATGATCCAATAGAAGATGATCCAATAGAAGATGTAGATGAGTTTCGCCTTCGAACTGGAACTTGGCGTGATCAGGTAATTTCTATCTATCTTTCTTGATTAAATATATTGAGTCAGTATTGCCATATATAATCATGTCTTTGTTCTAATCTTTAATTCAGGGCCTATGCCTTGTTGACTGGGGAAGAGGAATTGATCTGAATCTCTTTCCAAAAGATACTAAATTCATGGGGGACTGTAGAACTTCTGGCTTCCGTTGCATTGAAATGCAAGAAAAAAAGCCTTGGACATTTCAGGTTATATTATGACCTTGCTTTCATTTATTTTTTTATTTTTTATTTTTTATTTTTTTTGCATATGATTCTAGTATATTTGTTCATTTATTGTGTATGTGTGTTTAACTTGGATATTAGGTGGACACATATGGGCTTTGTGTTATAGTTCATATGATGCTTCATAATTCTTACATGGAGATTGAGAAAACAGCATCTCCTGATGGAAGCTTCTTTTACCGGCCCAAATCGCGTTATAAGCGGTTTGTTCTTACTAAGCTTCTTTTACCAGCCCAAAACTAAGTAGTGAAGTTCTGGACAATTCTTATTGAGTCGATACATAGATACCGAAATTGAGAATCCTAATCATTTTCTTCATGCTCTCTCATATTTCAGATACTGGAATGTCAATCTTTGGAAAAACTTGTTCGAGAGGTTACTCAACTTTGATCCAGCTGAAGATCACATGAAATTGTTGCAGTCTTTGAGGGGCACTTTCCAGGAATATATGTGCTCAGACCTAAAGCTTATCAAGAAGCTCAAGCAAGTACTTGTGAAGCAGAAAACATCCATGTGTAGAGCTTAAGACACAAGCGTCACTCCTCAGTTTTTTTGCATTTACTGTATGTTTCTGATGCAGCACAAGTTTCTTGTTCCGTGGTAAGCCTTTGATGTCCTTCCATAATTTTCCTATTGAGAATTATAAACACAAATGTTTAGATGTACTACTTATTAAGAGTGTAGGTCATATACTAAAATCACATTAAGATAATGGTGGTATGTCTACAAAATACGCATACAATATTGCAAATAAGCTACAAAATGAGTTCCTTTTTCATCCGATCTTGCCCGAAAGGAAGTGGCTCATAACCAGGAGTTTGTCCATTCTCGTTCATAGAACTTTAGAGTAAAGATAGATATTGAAGCTTGTGAGAGTAGTATTTATAATTTGTTATTGATTAGTACTCAATAATATTTAGCATGTAAATATTGAAAATATGAAAGATAAAATTGAAAAGAAGCTATTGAAGTTTTGAGTAAAATTAGATGGTGAAGCCTATAATCATTGTCTTTTAATTTTGGGACTGATTAAAACTCACTAGATACACTAGATATATATGCTAAGAACTCTACCCTTTATACCACATTATAATTGACTTATTGCATGAAAATCAAATAGGGACTGGACTACAATTCCTGGAGCTCATGTACTTTTCTGTTACTTTGTGTAGTGTACAGGATTTGCCAGTGCCAAATTGGATTACTGGAGTACTTGATGATATCTTGATATTGTAAAACATTTTAAATTGGGTATACTTGCCAAATTTGGTAAATTTGTTGAGCAACAAAGGCTTAGCCTAGAGATTGGGATTCGCTTTAGGGATTTTGAATTGTGGTGTTGTAGGAGTTTGAAATGTGTTGATGGATACAATTATTGTCGATTTTTTTTTATATTATTTTACGTGTGTTCGGATTATTTTTGTAGATAGTGCTACTATCGAGGATGATAACGATGCAGGTCGGGCCATGTAGTTCGGTACTCGAATGGATGGACTTGTCCCTTGATTTTTATATTGTGTGCATATTTTTTTTTTTTTTTTTT